TCACTTCACACAGACTTCGAGAGTACCACTCCAAGATCTGAGTGCCCAGGCTCCCTGTGGGAAGTCTGCAGTCAGTCAGCTGATTCATCTGTAAATAGATGGGTGAACTCAGTTTATGAGAGCATTGGATCCAAGTTGCTGTCCCAAGTCAACTTTATTTGCAATAAGGTTGATCTGTTGATTCTTGACTTTCATGACTCATTGCATTGCTTTACCATCTGGATAGGAGAGTTAATATGCTCTGCAAATGACCCTCAAATCATAATACAAAAGCATCTCTGTTTCAGTTTGGTGTCTTACAAAAGTGGTAGGATAATCTGCATGTATCTACAGAGGAACAATATGAAGGAAACAACCAAAGAGGAAGCTGCAAGGTGGATTTTAAGAGAGTTTATACCATAACAAGGAGAATTTACTTTATCTTATTGACAATAAAGGAACTAAACAGTTTCAAACAGGATAATAAGATGATTTTTCTTTGCTTTGAACATACTCTACTAAAAAATGATAACAGAGTTATGACATACATATGATCAGAATTATTGAGACGTTGATATGTTATATAACAGTCAATGTTTAAGCATAAGAAAGACATTTTTTACATTACTTGTGTTTCTATGCAAGGCCTTGCACTTTCCTGAGGTCATGCCTCAAATTCTTCTTTCCATTAGTTATTTTTCTATCTTATAAACATGAGATAGAGTTTCTCACGTAACTGGGATTATAGATGTGGACCACCACATCTGGCAAGGACTTGGATTTCAATTCTTACTCTGCAATAAACTGTGTAAGCTTAAGCTGGCAATTTAGCTTCTCTAAACTTACATTTAATTATCCTTATATGGACAGTATCTACCTTGTATTGAGTTAAAGGTTAAGTGATTCTGATTGTCATGTCAACAGAATAACATTTAAGTTAATCATTAGTGTAGAACTACTCAACTTCAACCCATCTGCATATCAAAGTACATCAAGATACTTTTGAAAATACATATGCCAAATCATACATTCAAGATTCTCATGCTGTAGGGCTGGGAACTTGCATGTACTTTAGGTTCTAAGATAATTCTGATACACAATCACAATGATGAATGTTCAGCATGTGACAGCTTAAAAAGTGTTTTTAGATTCATTAGTGTGTGTTTTGTTTATAAAATAATAAATTGCTTTTAAGTATATAAATCTCTGTGCCTCCATACCTATGTCACAAAATAAAGAAATAGAAATTACGTCATGGTTCAAGAGAAACAATAGTACAGAGGCAAGTCTTCACTAAACATAATCATGCATATATCTAAAACTAAGAAAAAATGAGTGATTTTCATTTGGAAGACTCTAAGAAACATAATAAAACTGCAACTATATTGGGTAGCCCATAATTCAAGCACATAAATGATTCAAAATTCATGATGTTACAATCAGAAACCAAAAATGAAAGGAAAAGTCAATGACTGTAGAAGGTCAAGGTAAACAGCAGGTGTGGGAGAGATAAGAAAAAATAACCTGGAAGTTCCCAAAGCTGGAAGGCAAGATGGTCCAAAGCTCTGGTAGGTCAGCAGGAGCCACATGATCTGCAAGTAAGACGAGCAAAAGAACAGATACAAGGTATCAGCAAAATGAATCATTTGATTCCAGCGCTGGTGATTCACACCTATAATCAGCTACTCAGGAGGCTGAGATTTGACGATTGCAGTTCACAGCCAACCCTGGTCAGGAAAGTCCATGAGGTTCCTATCTCCAATTAACCACCTAAAATCCAGAAGAGGAGCTGTGGTTCAAAGTGGTAGAGCATTAGTCTTGAGCAAAAGATCTCAGGGACAGTGACAAAGCCCTGAGTTCAAGTCCCATGGCCTACAAAAAAACAAAAACAAAACACAACATCACTTGATTCCAACGCAATCTTCAGTCCCTGGGAGGAAGCTTCTCACGTACTTCCTGCAGCAGCAGGAACCAGCCCAGGCCTGTAGGTAGAAGCAAGTAAATTCATGAAAAGGGAGAATGTAAAGCTCATGGGAGCAGAAGTAGCATCATGGTAAAAATTGTAACAACTGCCACCAATAAGAAAAACCAAACACTAAAATTGTTTCATATATATAAATATATTTATAGATATATATTTATTTATAGATATATTTGTAGACATATACTAAGATTGTTTCATATCTATAAATATATATTTATATATATATATTTATATGTTTATATATGTATTTATATATATTTATATATGAAACAATATTTGGGTTTGGTTTATATATACTACATATTATTACTAAAACAAAAGTTCACATTCGAGAGATTATGATATATATATCTAAAATATGTCAGAGTAATAAAATTTCAAAATAAAAATAGAAGAGAGTAATTTCATTCATATATTTACTCATTCAACCAAATAATAATGGTTGAACACCTCTGTCAATCCCCACTTTAGACATTATGCCAGGATATAAACAGAGTTTCCCCAATGATCATACTGTCTAGTAGCAGCATCAAAAAATTATCACCTTATGATACCCAGTCTTAGGATAGAGTTTGAGTGTCCGGAGGGCTTCTCAAAAGAGGTGAAGTCTTAAAAGAATTTACTGGAAGTAATTAGAAGAGAATGTGATCTGCTGTGAGCAAAGCAGGCACAAGGACAAGATGGTGAGGGTAGATATGGCAGGTCTGAGGATTTAGAAACCACTCACTTTAACTTGAACATGTGCTGTGCATTCAGAAAGAATGGAGATTTGAAGCGAGAGAGAGAGAGAGAGAGAGAGAGAGGGCTGGCTGTTAATGTAAAGCTGTGCTAAAATGTTTGGATTTTGTCCAAAATACTATTTTTTCCTGACTTCAAATAATTTAAGGTGCTGAGGCAAAGATTCTGCAAAAGAAAAATGGAAGACAAAGTAGAATAGCAAATAACATGTGAATCCGGTCATGCCCTTATACAGACACAGTCAAACGAGGAATGAAGTTAAAAAGAAACTAATTTAGAATCAGGCCCATTACTATACAGAAGTCCATTTTTAGTGGCCTCCTGAATATAATTGGTCTCCTGAACATAAGTCCAAATGTTTTCACAAAATTGATTTTGGCTGGCCAATGCCATGGAACAGACACATTTGACATGCGTTAACACGTCAAAAAGTTTATAAACGTCACATTAAAGTATGTGGACAAATCTAATTTTCTACCATAGTAGATAAAAACAATATAAAAATTTAAAGTATCTAAAAGTAAGTTTAGGATGGTCAAGAGCTGTCATATCAAACAAAAACAACATATTGCTCTAACTGTAAGATAGGAATGACGAGTCTTTATTTACCATTCTGTCTACTGGATATCATGTTATCAGCTTTTGGAACAGTCCCAGGGAATTTTTTTTTAATTTAGGAAAATTTACCCACTTTCTAGATCTCTATACAACTCTTTCCTGTTCTTAGGATGGTGGAAACCTTCTATAGCTGGTTAAGGTCAAGACATCACAAATCTGAGCTGTGCAAACTCAGCTGGCCTCCTCACTGGGACTAGTGTGTCTCTTGCTCAGCAATTTTCATAATTTCCCTCAGCAGTTTCTCCAGCTTCCCACCCCCAATACACACCACTCCCCCAAATGTTCTCACACATTCTCAGCACACTGCCTTTTTCTTCTTCACTGGCTGTAAGACCCGAGTTTGGAAGGTCCCATCCTCAATCACCTAGAGATTGTGACACTAGCAGATAGCCAAGGAAAACTCCTAAGCTGAAGGGAGAACAGGATGATGGTTAGCCTTTAGAACAGACTGATAAGAAAGGACAAGAAAGGAGGAGGTAACTAGAAAGTTTCTTTGTTGTTGCTGTTGTTTTAATGTACTATGTGATTTTTTTTTGTTTCCTTTGTATGTTCTTCCCCCTATGGTATATCTCTTGTTGTCACTGTACTTGATTTGGTACCCTGCATCTTGTATACACATTTGTCTAATTTGAGAGGGGAAGAGGAATAACAAAATGCTGAAACAAGGACACAGGATGACCCATTGCAACAATGATACTCGCAAGACACTATGTTGGAAATGAACTTTACAATTTGGGGGCAGGGGAGGAGTGAGGGAGGTGGGGGAGGGAAGGGATAGTAAGAGAAAAACAAAGGAGGGGGTAACAATGCTCAACAAGAAATGCACTCATGCTTTACTCATGTAACTGTAACCCCTCTGTACAGCATCTTTACAATGAAATAAAATTTGTAAAAAAATTGTAAAGAAAGAGGATGTTTTAAGGGGAAGGTAAAAAGCAGCATCTAATGCTGCAGAGATTTTTTTAAATTAACTTACTTTACTGTTAGTATAAAGGTGATATGCAGAGGGATTACAATTAGTTGAGTCAGGTGATTAGTATATTTCTTTTTTTTTTATTTTTTGTCGGTCATGGGGCCTGAACTCTGAGCCTGGGCACTGTCCCTCAGCTCTTTAGCTGTAGATTAGCACTCTACAACTTGAGCCACAGTGCCACTTCCGGCTTTTTTCTGCTCACGTGGTACTGAGGAATTGAACCCAGGGCCTCATGCATGCAAGCAAGCGCTCTACCACTGAGCCACCTTCCCAGGCCCGTATATTTCTTTTTATATAGTGTCTTCTGTTCCCTCCCTCCACTGCAGAGATTTCAAGTTGGAAAAGCTGGAAGAGCCCATTAAAGGCTGTAGTGTAGAGATAATGGCAGCTTGTAAGTTTGTTCATATAACTCCAACTGAGTGAATAGATTACAGAAAACAGACTACAATTGGCTGAGTAACAAAGAAAAGTGAAAGCCTGGGAGAAAAGGAAAATTACTCTCTTAAGAATATACACTGGTCAGAAGGTGAAGATAGGGAGATCTGGTTTGAGGCTAGCCCAAGGCAAAAGTTAGCATTAAAGCTAGGAGGGTCTTAAGCCAATGCCATCTCAGCAAAGGCAAAAGAATCTATCTGAAAAACAGTCTAAACAACAAAAGAACTAGGAGTATTGTTCAAAGAGAAGATGTTGGTAAAGGTGGCAGAGGGCATGACGCCAGTGATGGTGGAGGTACTAATGATGAAGAAGGGTGAAGGTACCGCCCTGATGGAGGTGGTGGAGATGGTGAAGAAGGAGGTAGAGATGATAGAAGTAGAAAGGAGAAGTTATTGTCAGTGGAAGTGATAGCTAATAGCCAAGATGCAGTTGATAATGGTAATAGTGGTGATAATAAAAAGAGAAATAGTTTTAAGTATCAGAAACAGTCAAGCATGTATATCTACCAATGTGAAAGATCCAGAAGAGAGAAACAGCAAACAGAAGATAAAATAATTAAAAAACTATAAAATAAAATAATGTGTCTACCCTAGAGAAAAACAGATAAGGAATTTAAAACATAGATAGAGGAACCAAATTGCAACACTATTTCCACTGGCAAAATTCCCATGCCAAACTATTTTTTCTTCAAATGTGTCATGGAGTTCTGTGCTCTTGTGCTTAGTGATACACCTTTTACCTACAACATTCTTTCTCCACATCACAGCATATCACTTCTATTCCTTATGCAGAATAAGATTCAGGGTCCACCTATTCCATAAAGCCTTTTAATCCCTTCCCTCACTCTGATTAGAGTGCCTGATCTCTGGCTCCTACAATGCATTGCACATGGTCCATCTACATTGTAATTGCTATAATCTCCACTAGAATGTAAGATATGAACACAAATACCAGCATTCTTTAGGCTTTCAGTAATTCCACAAAATTAACATACCACTGCTGCTGCTGCTGCTAAATATCTATGTAGTTCTGTCAATGCTAAGTAGTAGCGAGAAGCTATTGTCCTAATACCTGGCTTTGTAAATAAAGTTTTATCAAAACATAGTCATAGCCATTCATTCACTCTCATTGTTTACAGATGTTTTCACACTACAATAAGGCGAATAGTTGTTAAAGAGACTACCTGGCTCAAAGAAGCAGAAGTTTTATTTTATGACTCTTCATAGGGAAAGGTTTAGCAATTCCTGGCTTAAACAATAGAAATATAAATAATGACTCTTATACTACATGAGTCTGTACTTCAGTGAGAGATATCAGCCACTACAACCTAAGATGAAGTAAGTTTGGCTAGTGGAAATTAAAAATGTTACAAAAACAAGCAATTAGTCTGTGTTTTAGAAGGTCGGGAATTTTTGTAAACCTAGCATCTAGAACTATTTAGCACTTCAGTGGCTGTTCTATAAGTAGACTATTTTTTCCAAAGGTCAAAATCCGTTTAATGCATGAAATATTTGAGTGAGACTCTAAACTATGTGAATAAGCCACTATTCCAAAAGACTATAGATATTTCCATCAACAAGAGAATCAAATTAGGATGTCACTTAATTTTAACATCCAAGTAACAAATTACTTAAGTACTTCAAATTCATCTTTTTTAATTTCATTATTAAGTAGTATTCAAAGAGGTTACATTGCATAAGTCTAGACACGAATACAGTGCATTTTGATCTAGGTCACCCCTTCCATTGGTGTCTCGCATTACTCTCCCTCCCATCCCTACCCTCGAGTTAAGTAGTTCAGTTTTTATGTAATGTTCATTGAATATAATGACTGCATTTGCTATCCTATAACAAAGAGCTAAGACCCAATTTTGGATCTTCCCATCAGTAAGAGTAACTGACTATGGCACTCACAACTGAAGGGCTGGCTTTAATACTTGCTGATAACAGAGAGTTTTACATAATGTTTATGCTATTCTTTAAAATCTGTTAAGATTCTACACAGATTCAGTGGAAAGCAGGTGAAAAAATACAGCAGAGGAGCCCATCAATGGCACTGGACATTGATGAAAATTAACCAAGCAACTCAAGGGCAGTGATAGGAAGGAGGAAATGAAAGAGAAAAAAGGAAACAGCTGATACTAAAGTCTTAGTGTTAAAGTTTGTAGAATTCATAAACTTTGTAGATTACAATAATGATAATTATCACTGTGAAGGTTAAAATATGTTTGTGACCTTAACTAAGTATAACCATGCCACAGTATTGTGAAACATAAGCAGTTATTTAAACTGAATAAAGAAATATTTGGAGGGCTGGGAAGGTGGCTCAGTGGTAGAGAGCTTGCCTTGCATGCCTGAGGCCCTGGGTTCGATTCCTCAACACCACATAAGCAAAAAGAAAAAAGCCGGAAGTGGCACTGTGGCTCAAGTGGTAGAGTGCTAGCCTTGAGCTGAAGAGCTGAGGGACAGCACCCAGGCCCAGAGTTCAGGCCCCTCGACCCCCCCCCCAAAAAAAAGAAATATTTGGAGAAAAAAATCTTTTAAGATTCTATCGTGGATAGTTAATGTCAAATCCTGGCCTAGAAGTATGGTCTTAGTGGTTCCTAGATTCCTCTGCATTTTCTATGTATACTTTCTCTCTCTCTCTTTCTCTCTCTCTCTCTCTCTCTCTCTCTGTCTGTCTCTCTTTCTCTCTCTCTCTCTCTCACACACACAATACATACCATTACCATCTATCCAATATCATCTCATAAACAACCCATTCATCCATGTACAAAGCTCACATATTCTTCACACATATATCTCTTGTTTGTAATAAGAATACCTTTAACACAAATATAATTGGTGCATACTTTCAGATTTATTCTACTCAGAGATGAGCAATAAGTTCCATTGAGAAGCCACACTGTAGAGAGAAAGCTGTGCGGCCACCACAGCACATGAGAACTGGAACTGTGGGTCCCTAGTGATGTTTGCCTTGTGATGGGCTTGGGTTAAATTATTTGTCATCTTGTCCCCTAAGAATTTCATACATTTGCAGATTTCTTAACTGTATCAGGTAAATAGACATTGGTTGTCTCTCCTAGGAATCGAGGAAGGTGGCAAAATTCTTGATGGGGGCAATCTTAGTACAGAGAATAAGAATAATAATAACAAATTTGCAAAGCACTTCATTGATTTCAAAGTATACTTGCAGGTTGTAAATCACTGAGTCTGTGACTTCCTTTATTATGTAAGATTACAAAGCTGAACTCAGTGGGATTCAGTCAGTTAAATAGGGGTTAGCAACTTAGCTATCATCATCACATAGACTTCTTTGGCAGGAATTAAATGCAGAGTCCTAACTGTGATAATCTGAGGGACAACAGATAGCTATCTAAGAATTAGAGGTAGCCCACTACTCTAAATTGAATGTGATTATCTTTCTATTATTCATTGAAGGAATCATACTATGTTCTACTGAATGCAAGGCACACTCACAGAACTTAGGAGGACTTGGGAAGATGTTGCAAGATGTTTAAAGAAAAGTGTTACACTGTAAAACAAGGACTTGTTATAACTGTAGAAGTATTAAAACAAATAATGGGTATGACAAATAGGAAACTATTATTACCATGAGCTGATGACAGATGCACAAACAAGAAGAAAAATCCCACTTTAAGAAATCATGAGAACTGTTTCCTAAAAGTTGCATTGGGAGGATGAATGTTGAGTTCCAACCTCTGATTGTGCCATATACTCGGCACTTGAATGAAAACCAACTACATGAGGATATTTCCCACTTCGAACCATCCTCTAGTGTGCTTGACCCTTCCTTCTCCAAAACCTCAGATCCGCACCTGTCTACTTCCTTCTTCTACAACTCACAACTCTCACCTCCTCAGTCCTTCCATCTTCACACACACACACACACACACACACACACACACACACGTTCTTAGTGCTACTTCCTGTGAAACAACTGAAAATGTCGGTTGTAATGGAAACTAAAATCCCAAGACAGAGCTGGTAGCCTTTACCCTAAATAATCTAACATTTACATTTGCATTTGCAGGCATTTTCTTTTCCCTCCCTTTGCTTCCCTCCCTCCCTCCGTGCCTCCCTCCCTCCCTCCCTCCCTTTCTTCCTTCCTTCTTTCCTTCCTTCCTTCCCTCATTCTTTCCTTTCCTTCATCCCCTTCCTTCCCTTTCTTCCCTTCCTTCCCTTCCTTCCTGCTTTCTTGCTTTCTTTTTTAGCTCCACAATGATATTTAAAAGGCCAGTAGGGAATTCAAGAGAAACAATATCTGATTCAATGTGCTGGAAACCTGGATTGTGGAAAGAAGGAAATGAAGAAAATAATTTCCCAGAATACAGTCCCAGGAAAAGCTAAGCCAACTTGGAAGGAATATTGGAGATCATCAGTTTGACCAGAAACCATAGGGGACTTGTTTCTTTGAAGGCCAAAGGAAAATAAAACTTAATGGCTGGATCTTGAATAGAAATAGATGGCCTAGAGTAAGATAAATGCTAAGACCTAGTACTCCCTTGTACAACTACTTAAAGATAATAAAAAACATAGTTTTAAAAGCTAAAAAATCCTAGTAATGTGAAAGCTTAAAAAGCAAAAATATTATCGGTTGTAATAACTCCATTTATGTTATGAATTTGCATTTTTAATGGGGAGAAGATTTTCCAGAGTTTAAGAAACACTAGAGAGATGCAAATTCTAGTGTCTGAGAAATCAGAAGGAGTGCTCAAATGAAACTGAGCTAGGACAAGAATATAAATTGTTTAATGCCTTTAACATAAACCAAATTAGGTAGATGCTTGAGACTGGACTACAACATTCTAAGTCTTACACTGAAAAGTTGTCTGACACAAGAAAACAGGCACATCATATTTTAAGTGGACTGTGGGAATAGAACTCTAGGGAATATGCTATGAAAAGGAAGTGGACAAGAGCAGACTTAGGAGAGTCTACTGCTCCACCAAAACAGTCTCTGTAAACAAAGCTCCCTGAAGGGGAAAAAAGAAGATTAATCTAAGCACAAGCAAGTAGCAGAACAAGAAACTCACCTGGAAGAGTCTTTAGCCAGCTGTTTGGGCTGTCCTTATCCCGTTAGCTATAGTAGAATGAGGCAAACAGTTTCGTCATTTAAACAAACAAAAAAAACTCTGGTACAACTGGCTGCTCTTGATAGGCCTACCTGGAGCTAGCAATTCTGAGGGGAACAAATACCTTCCCTCAGTCTCCTTACCTTCCAGACAACCTGCAGTGTAAATGACCATTAGTTTTGCATTGGGACTGAAAAATTCGATCATCCTTAGCTCTCCTGTCTGAGGAAAGTCTTTTTAGCCTTGACTAATGATCTCACAAATTCTCTCTATAGTCTTTCTATATTGCATCTGTTCCTACAGAAGCCTAGGTTTGGGATTTTTATTTATTTATATTTTGGTGATTTTTATGGGGGAGGGGAAGCCCAATTTTTTTTTAATGATCTGGTTATGTCCTAGAAAATTCTAGAGAATCAAAAACCAAATGGCCACCCTTTTTTCCTAAGGCAGAATTCAGAGAGCACCTTAGAAGAGGGACCCCAAGGTCGCTGGGTGAAAGTTGGAAGAGCCCCTAACCTCAGATTATTTCTCTCCACCACCCTGTCTCCTCAGCTGCCCCCAGGGGTCATAATCGAGGCGTTTTGCCAGGAAGGTCGGTCCTGAAGGGCACCTTGAACCACGCTGTGGCTTCAATGTCTTTCTCCTTCAGCACCTGGACCTGAACCTCCTTAGCTGGGGTGAGTGGGGATCCAAGCGACCCTGGAGTCCCGGCCCCACCGCCGCCTGGTGGGCTCTGCCTTGGGCTGTGCACCGCGACGCAGACCCTCCCACCCTAACGAGGGCTCCATCCACTGGAGGGAACCCAGAGCCACTGCAGTGCGACAGCCCTGCCGGGAACAGCTCGCAGGAGAAGAGCAGGCGGAACAAACTGCGAGGGCCTTGGCCACACAAACCAGGCCTACAGGTCGCCGCCAGGCTGGGAGCCGATCCCCGCCGCCCCGGCGCCTCCCCTCCGCCGCGCGCTCCCCTCGCTGCGCCCTCCACCTACCGGTGCAGACCCTTTGGTCTCCCGCCCATCTCCCCACGCGGTCCGCAGTCCCAGCCAGCCGCCGGGCGCTGGGCGGGCTGCACAAGCCCAGGGTCCGAGGATACTGGAGTGTACCGACTACCGCGGCACCACGTGTCCGAACCGGGCTGGCGCGGGCGGAGCGGGCCGGGCCCGGCTCCCCCAGCCCGATCGCAAACCCGCAGCGACCCACTCTCGACCTCGCCGAACCGCTCCAGCCTCCGGGGCGCACGTCCATGCCTTCTGGTCAGCGAGATGGACTCCATCGGGGGGAGCCAAGGTAAGGCCAGGGCGGCTTTAAGAGGTGTTGGTGTCCCGTACCCCAGGACCTCGGAGGGCAATGGTAGTCTTCAGTCCAATAAGGACCAACCTGGGATCTTCTGACCCTGGAAACTCCCCTTTCCTTGAGGATTTCCAGGGTGCTCAGGACCAAGGAGGAGGTCGTGGGAAATGGGACAGTCTGGGACAGCCGGGGGGGGGGGGGGTCTGGCAGCAGGAAGGAGCTGGTGGGACTCAGTCCCTTGATTCACTGGCTGTTCACAAGATCAGGTTTCAAGCTCAGGACAAGAAACAAAGTTGGCCGCCCCCCCCCTCGCATGTTGGGGGTGGGAGGTCTTTTGAGGAGGAATGTTGACCATTCCGGGTCCTGAATGTGTCTGGTGGTGTCCAGAAAGCATTCCTGGGGCTTTCCAAAGACATGGCTAGCAAGTCCAAGTCCCCTGGGGACGCTGGCTCTTCCAAGTTTCAATCCCCTAGGAGGTTTTGCCTAAGATTATTCGAGATGGAAAAAATAAGAAGAAAAAGAGGGAGAGACAGAACATATTTTTCATCAATATGTCATTGAAGGGCTCAAGTTAATGAGCTCAAAATATCCTCGTGAGGCGTTTGAATTTAAAATAGGCCTGGATTGTAGAGCGGAAACGATCTGCAAACTTGATTTGGGTGCGTGGGAAGAGAATCTTAAAGCTTTAAATAGAAGAAGTCACTGGGGGGGGGGGGGACTGTTTTCCTGATAGTCTCATGCCATCCAATATGGAGCAAGCCAGAGTCTACCGCTGAGCTCCTGTGCGTTCCTCCATTCGTGACCCCAGATAGTGGGGAAACCTGCCATAGAAATCAGCCTTCTCAGAAAAGGGTCAAGGTTGAACTTCGCAGTTCAGAAGCTTCAGCTGTGAGATTTTACTGCAGCATTGCTAGCTCAGTTAACTAGGCCAGGCACATTTCGGAATGATTCACTCCTTCCTCCCCAAAGAGAACTGCAGGGCAAAAGGATCCAGGTGTTCTCTATCAAATCTTCTCTGTGTGTATTCGGAATCATACCTGTGTCCCTTTGAGAGATATATCCAAGTGATTTTTTTTTACTTGCTTCACATTTTGGAGCAGCAAATATATGTTATCATTATGCAACTTTTAGTTAATTTAGATGAATGTCAATGATGATATTTCAATGAAAAGTGACAATAAAATATACTGTTCAATCCATGCCACGCCATAATTTTAAAGCATATTTCATTAACTTGTCTGGGATTTAATGAGGAAACACAAGCTTCTTAAATGATGAGACTCTAAAACATATGGATCCCAAACTTCTCTCCTCTCCTCTCCTCTCTTCTCCTCTCCTTTCTCCTCTTGTCTTCTCCACCCCTCCTCTCCCCTTCCCTTTCCTTTTCTCTTCCTCTCTTTTCTCTCCTCTCCTCTCCTCTCTCTTCTCTCTTCATTCTCTTCTAATCATTTTCTTCATTCTCTCCTCTCCTCTTCCCTTCTTCCCTTCCTGCCCCCCCTCTTGTTCTTTCATTCTTGGCAGTAATGAAGTTTGAACTCCACTCTTGAGCCATAGCCATGTCATGCAGTCCTTCATCTTCCGTTATTTCTCAGGTAGTGTCTCATGCTTCTGTGGAAGCCAGCCTCAGGCTATGGACCTCCTGCCTTCGTTTTCTACTCGTGTTAGTAAAAGTGTGTAAGAGATAAGCACAAATGAATAATTATTCAAGATAGAGTACTAGTTTAATTATTTAACACATGCTGGTGATATAAACCAATCTTTGCATAGTTCTCTACTGATCTTTTTAAAGATTATACACATTTCAGAAGTTTTACTATGCATGCTAGGATATCAGTATAGTCAAAGGATACAAAAGAATACCAGACAGATGATAGATAGATAGATAGATAGATAGATAGATAGAGTAAATATATGTGTATGTTTGTGTGTGTGAGATTTATTAGTAAAATAATGCACATTCAGAACTGAAAGAAAATTCTTTCATATGAGAATAACCTTAGCAATAGATATTAATTTCAGATTGCTCATTTATAATTTTCAGAAATACATGCTTTCCTATTTCTTTGTGTTTTTTTCAGGTCATAGCTTAAAATTAGATTCCAGCCTTCCTGATCTTTGAAATAACGTCTCATTATATTAGTTGTATTTATGACCTAAACTAGATTTTCCAGTTATTTACATTAAGAGCACTAGTAGTAATAATATTTATCATGATAATATTTAACTCAATTTTTTTCTAAACACTTTAATTTTTCTTGTAAGTAATAACTGGTGGTCATATATGGTAAACATTGCAAAATAACAATTACATCCTCTTAAGTGGCTGCAATATTGAATCTCCATGTTGAAAGAAAGGGAAGAATGTAAGAAGTCATCTATTTCTTTGAAAATCTGAATACATAAAATATGAATTTCATTTCAGAAAAACTCCTATTTCCTTATTCCCTAAAGAAAATGTTGAACCTTTAATGACCCAACCAAAGACAGCTTCTTGAGTTAAAAACCATAAAAAATCAATTTAGGTTCAACTTACTAACTGTATGCATTTCTTTCCCTAGGGCAGAGATGACATATTTTATAGTATAAATGAAGAATGGGGTAAAAGGAAATATTAACCAGTTTCTCTGTTCGTTCTTGGTTTAACCTGTGCCCAGGGAAACTCAATTCATAATTTCATCAATTTCACACCATTAATACACATGAATTAACTTTAAAAGGTAAGGACTGATAGTTGGAGTGAGGAGGCACCATTAAACCTAATGACAGTTTAATGCATTTTTCATAGTGGCACATGCCTTTGAAGGGACCATTATATTTTCTCTTAAGATAGAAGGGGATGAGAATGTAAACTTAATATTATCCAGCCACATATTGTTTGCTCTTCCTTTGGCTCTTGAAATGTATTAAGATAGAAGGTGATTGTTGAAGAGTTACTTCTTAACTTTCACCTCTGGGAAACAAAGTCTACACCTGAATGCATTTTGTGTGCTTTGTCCATGGTGCTGAATCTGGCTCTCTCAGTGGCCCCACTACACAGAGAAAGACTGGTATTTCTTCTGGCTAACAACTTGAAGACTACGAATATTGAAAAACAGTCAAGTAAATCTATCATCTAAATACCAAGAGAATTTGCAAGTATTATTAATGGATGTACTTGAATAATAGTCAACCTGGAAGACAAATTGCAAATATTTGCTTTTAACCAGTTTGACATACAACTTGGGGTTTCTCATCATTTTGTTCCTCCAGTGATGATAAATTAAATTAAGTGTAAAGCAGCTTGAAATTATAAATTGTAATTGCAGCAACAAAATTAAATTGTAATGCAGCAAAAATGTTTAATAGTTATAAATTACTTTCCTAAGAATACTTTCTTATTTTACATTTTTTAGGCCTCTACTTTGGGCATTCCTTATGCAATTTCAAGTTACTGAAAAGTCATAGATCTTCTAATAATAAGCCATGATTTGCATAACCTTTTACATGTACATATACTTACTCTTAGCTTCACATTAACTCAATGAATACTTAATACATGTAATTGTTAATGTTGCATTGAATTTTAACATATGGCCCTTGCTGCTAAGAAACCTGAAATTCAATAATTACTGCATATATATAGATATATGTATTAATGCACTCCACTATCACTAGAATTTGAAGTCATTGATGAGATGGACCTGTTTGACATTTTCATGGATTTATTGCTAGAATGGTAACTCCTAACAATAAGCACATAATACATTTTAGCACATGAATTAGAATATTAATGAGTGAATAACTGAGATAAGTAAGATCAAGAATAAAATAATGGCACTAGTCACAGGGTGCAGATTTTCAGAAGAGGTATGTATTTAGAAGAGGTATGTATTTAGAAGAGGTATGTATTCTGCAGTTACAAAATTAAAGAAATTGATATGGATTGATCTGTTTTTTCTCAGTGCATTCAATTATCAGAAGCAAAAGTAAGTCTGATTTCCAATAGTGTTGTATGATTTATAGGTATTTTGCCAATGTCACGTTTAGGGCTCACTACAACTACTTTCATTCCCCTTTATGAATGATCAGTTAAGCAACTTTCTTAAGTAACTAAGTCAATGATCAGGTTCTCACAATCGAAACTCAGGCCATCTAATTTTGATCTCTAAATGGATAGCCAACAACTGAACTACTGTTTGAGCATTCAAGTGCCTTTTAATTTCCATATTGCCATGTAACTTCTAGTTCTTAAAACAATCTTTCTCTTGATCTGCTTTGAAACCTTTCTTATAAAGGTAAACTCCCTTTTCTACCTAATAAAAAAGAAATCATATTTGTCCTCTTGTCTTCTTTCATAGATGGAAAGGAGAGAAAAGAAAAAAAAGTCAAGAGCCAAAGACACATTAACTTCTATGGGAAATGGGAAAAAAATGACATTTTTTGAAAAAAAGTATTGATATATCATATACTTTCTTGCTCCCAGTTAGAAATGTTTCTTGAGGTTGGACAAGAGTTTCAATTCTAACAGCTAGTGTATTCTCTCCTTCTTTTGTAGTGAAGTGGCAATAATATGGGGTCCAGACAAACTTGAAGGAAATGTTCCAGAAGAGAGGTTTTTTTCCAAGACTAAAACAAATAATTTGCATAAACTTTTACATGTAAATATATTTACTATTAGCATATCTCTTAAAAAAATCTTTTACAGCAAGTATTTAAGCCATCATTTAAGCCTACTACATAGGCAGGTAGTAAAATTACGTTTGATACAATAAGTTTACTTTTCTCCATGTGGTTAATATTTATTATCTTAATGTTTTCATTTTTTAACTAAAACATTCAAAATGGACATCTAGGGCTGGGATGTAGCTCAGTGGCAAAGCGCTTGCCTAGCAAGCGCAACGTCCTGGGTTCGATCCCCAGTACCAAAAAAAAGAAAAGACAAAATGGACATCTATTATTAGAGATGCCCATTCTTAGCACTGAAGTTTTCTAGAAAAGCCATCAATCATCTGAAACCA